TTTTTTGAATGAATTTTTGAAACTTGGAAATTCAAAGCTTTGGACGTGGAAAACTCTATCATCTGCAACATAGTGCTATGCTCAATGTTTCTGTTAATATCCTTCAAGACAATTAGCAATGACAACAGGTCAATATTGACGTGAAAAATTATTCCAAGTCGGCTGTTTCTAAATCTTGGCATAGAAAATATTCAGGCGGCAACCAAGGAGAAATAAAAATTACATATTTTATTGAAAAAATAAAAGCGAAAACGCTAGCCAATAAAGAATTGATAAAAACCTTGGTTGTCGCTACGATATAATACAATTAATATGAAATGTTTGATTTATCTGAATGGTGTATGGCATTCTTTAGAGAAAATGTGGCTAGATACCAAATGCTGACACTTCAAAGAAGCTTTGAAGAGAGTTTTTATACTGCTGTTCACAAAACCGTAATCAAATCCCAAAAAATGTATGCCATTCTTATATGAAGCGAAGCAAGCTTCGCAAGATCACCATCAGAGAACTTCCTAAAATCTGACTGCAAGATTCAGAGCTAAAATAGTAATTTGAAAAGAATCGCAGCTCCTCTCCAAAAATATCATTGAGATCAGTCTCACATATTAAACCCATAAGAACAACCCACTCATATGCGTGTTGCTGTATTCGTCCATGCTAAAATTGAAAAGAAAGCCGAAATTTGAAAATACATATCTTTTTTTCCAATTTTTTGTGGTTTATGTAATATTCTTTGACGACAAGGCACACAGAAACAATTTTCATAACTTTAAATTCGTAGATTTGTGATAGCAGCTTGCATGCGCGTAGAGAGTAGAATTGAGCTTGCCAATTACGGCTTTTGTTTTTTTCTTAATTTTAGCCTAAAAGTACAGTATGCATGCAATGAATCTTTGCGTGCTCTATCACTAATGATGTTGAAGATTCACAAGTTTTCTGGGATGTTTGTGTGTTTATGCTCTCAGAGTCTGACGTCAAACTTTACATGAGTCACAATTTATGCCACGGTTCGGTGACCGCCTCAACCTGCTTTCGTCTAATAATGGGTGATCTGACAAATTAAGGAGCTTGCCTAATTCTGAATCCATGCTTTTTTTTCACATTTGATACGGTAGGTCATATCACAGGTAATTCCTCCTTTTCAAGCGTCATATCCCGAAAAAAAGCGAGGAATTGTGGAAGACCTTCGTCGCATTTAATGCTCCATTCTCTTTCAAACTTTTATGTCTTTACTGCACTTAAACCAGCGAGCTCTCTCAGATGGAAGTGCAGAAGTGGAAGGATCAGCTTGAGATGCATGGACTAAAGCTGAACATGACGAAAACGGAGTATATGGAACTGGGAACACAGACACCCGGAACAATCCAGATCGGAGACACGCAACTCAAGAAGACCACCTCCTTCAAGTACCTGGGAAGCCGTATCTCCGCAGATGGCAACCTCCGCGATGAGATAAGCAGTAGAGTGAACGCAGCATGGATGAAGTGGAGAAGTCTCACAGGAGTCCTATGTGATAAGCGGATGCCAAGAAAGCTGAAGTCCCTGATATATCGCACGACAGTTCAACCGACGGCCCTATACGGAAGCGAATGCTGGCCATGTAGACGTGACGAAGAGAGAATGATCAGTGTAATGGAAACACGAATGCTGAGATGGACCACAGGAGTGACGATGCTAGACCATGTCCCGAATGACACTATATGAAGCATAATGAAAGTGACACCCATTGTAAAGAAGATGCAAGAAAGACGTCTACAGTGGTATGGACATGTGAGCCGAAGAGAAGAAAGCCACATTACGAGATTGGCCATGTCAGTGGAAATGCCAGGGAAGAGACCAAGAGGAAGACCTAAGATGAGATGGCTGGATAAAGTCAAAGCAGATATGAGAGAGCTTGGTATAAGAGAAGAGCAGGCCTTAAACCGAGAAGAATGGAAAAGATTGACGAGAGCGGCAGACCCCGAGTGACGGGAGAATGCAAGGATAGAAAAAAAACCAGCGAGCTCTCAAAAGATTACCAAAGACCACCATTCATAATTCTGTTATGGTCATCCCTCAATCCTGTGATTTTCTCATTAGCTCAAGTACGTTTCGTAATGAATGGATAATTTGCTGTGGGACAATTTCGAAATATGAAAATTCTGAATAAAATGACTAAATAAAATTTGAAAAATCAGAACATTTAGTGAACGAATATCGAATGCCCAAAAACTGAATGGTGAATTTTGAATAAATATTCGATTGATTTACTCACAAGGAGAGGATACTTAGTCGAAAGCACCAATCCAGATGAGACACATATCAGCTTAAAGCGCTTGAAACGCTGATTCCAAATCTGTAATTTTTAGCAGCGGAGCGGGTTTGTAGAAGGAGTTATGAGGGGTGTTTAGTTTTGGGGGTTAAGACGCCCTTATCTACGAGCACTGTAGAGGAGTACCAACTGGTGGCAAGTGGCCTAGTGGTAAGTGCCTTGTTTGATAAAGAAAGTGTCAAGGTTTCAATCCCCTTCGCATGCAACTTTATCGCAATTCTTGAGCTTTCAAATGGCTCTAGAGCCCTAAAGCCTGAAATTTCGGATAATACTGATGCTAATTGAAATTGGAAGTGTTAAAAAAATCGAAGTAATACGAGTATTATTAGGTTGGTGCAAAAGTTTTGTCAGTTTTTTCAATCCATCGGCAAACAGGCTAGAATGAAGATAATTAAACACTTTAAAATGTATCCGATGCAGAATTTTTCGCCTTTCCAGCTGCTAAACTCTCATTGTGTTTCTTTGCGAAAGTGACGAGATATTTGCTGGAAATTGCAACCACTCGTTTTTACCATATCCAAATTTCACTAATTTTCAAAATTTTTGTATGAGACTTTCGGAGGAGCCCTAATAACCACCAAATAGGGCAAGCCTTTTGCCAACTTATGCAATTTTTTTCTATTTATCAGCTGCTTTTTCAGATTTTTGTTAAATATTTTTCTAAAAGTCTTGTGTTTTGGAAAAATCGCATAACGTTTTATTACACTCAAACACTGCAAAACCTACAAAATACTGAGATTTAACACTCTATTAGTTCTACCGCTACCATTACAAAGTACATGAGCGATTTTTGCTTCAAATTAAGAAGATTTTGAAACATAGGTTACGGCAGTGCGCATTCCTTTGAGAAATACTGCGATTTTCCCAACAAATTTCGCCTGTCTCGGCAAAAAAAGACAACTATTAGAAGGAGGAGAAAAAGTTGAATCGAATGGTGACTGAAGTGTTTAACATTTTAGGTTCCATGAGGTTAAAATAGGCTAAATGTAAAATTTGGTCACTTCAAAAAATAAATCGTAAAAATTCTGGAAGGCAAGCCGTAGGGCTATAAAAAATTGCATAAATTGGCAAAAGGTTTCCCCTATCTGACGGTTATTAGGGCTCCTCCGAAAGTCTAACACAAAAATTTTGAAAATTGGTGAAATTTGGACATGGTAAAAACGAGTGGTTGTAATTTCCACCAAATATCTCGTCACTCTCGCAAAGAAACACAATGAGAGTTTAGCAGCTGGAAAGGCGAAGAAATTCTGCATCGGATACATTTTAAAGTGTTTATTTATCTTCATTCTAGCCTGTTTGCCGATGGATTGAAAAAACTGACAAAACTTTTGCACCGACCTAATATAATCCTTAATGTAATCTTCATTCAAATTACTTACCACTAGCCACTTGCTACCAGTTGGTAGCAGTAGGATAAGGGGAGACCTACTGGAGGGCGCCTCAACCCAAAGGGAAACAACCCTCATAACTCCTTCTATAAAACTGCTCCGCTGCTAGGAACTACAGATATGGAATCAGCGTTTTAAGCGCTTTAAGACGATATGTGTCTTATCTGAATTGGTGCTTTTGACTAAGTATCCTCTCCTTGTCAGATACTTGAAAGAATCATGTCTGAAATCGGCTGGCATACCCGGCTCGAACGGTTTGGATCTGCCTCGAAATCAAATAATTCGAATACGCACTCGAACAAAACATAACAAAATTGTTGGAAAACTTGATCTCCAATAATCAAGTTCTCGAATTTTATCGAAAAAAAGGTAAAATTCTCTTTCGAATTTATAATGCGAATATATTTAGATGTACCATTCAAATTATCAAACTTTTATTTCATTAGAATCAAAGCATGCTGGATAAATAACGGTACTGCCTCTTTCTTTCAAATTTTGAAGCTGCTGGTGCTGGATTATTGATCCTACTATATTTAAAGACTTTATTTGCTGAAATAAAATATGATTTTAAGGCATTGTGTGGCAACTGCCGGCTAGTCGAACATTTCTGTAAGATGATCATCTAGTAAAAGACCAGTATTCCATTTGCTCTACCTGCACGTTATTTAATGTTCATTAAAAGCTAAAACATTTCAACTTTGTGGCTAGATCCAGCAGAAGTAGCGCTGCACATTCAAAAATTTCGACAACAGCAAATTTCCGCAAAAAAAACTAAAATATTTAAACTTGAATGCATAGCTTTGAAAAAGTTGAAAAGCTGCACCGAATAATTTCAGGTGTTGGCGGCCGCTTAGTTAAAAATGTATAATTGCTAGCTAATTTCGCATTTTCTTATGCGAGTCACATCCATCAAATAAAACCTATAAAAGATCTGGGACTATTCGATGTTGGCCTATTGTAAAAACATGTGCAAAACATTTCAAGCTTTTAGAAGAGCTGCATCAACATAAGTGAATAAGTGCAATGACGGTTTTTGAAAACAGCCTTTTCAATTTCTTTGATTTACTTATTTTTGACGCTATTAGTCACAGAACAGGCCGGCGTATTCACAGTTTGTTGGATACGTTTGTTCCCTTCTGACACGCGCTCTCTATCTCCAAATTCGTGAAGGCTTCACTGAAGAGGGTTGTTTTCGATTTGTTATTTCGAGGCAGCAGTTCATACCAATTTTTCTGATCGAAGGAAAATGGTAATCTAATTCTAGATTTTTCAATTAATAAGATTTCTTAAAGTGGAGTAAAAGCAGCTTTACAAAAAGGAAGACTTCTTTTCAAAACGTTATTGCACATTGTCACTCCATCCACTTTTGACAAAGCTACTCCAAAATCAAAAATAAAACATCAGAAATGGCATGTTCAAACCATTAATCCCGTTTTTGGACAGAGGAAACTCTTCAGTTTTAGAAAGAATCGTTGCTAGCCATTCAACCTCCTTGCATATGAAAATACCATACCATACGTGCACACAGTTTCCCAATCCGCGTTTCGGACTGTTTGGACCCCAGAATTCGAAATCAACTTTTGTGCCGTCAGTCCACGTCCAATTCTTGCTGTTTGTCATATCTTGTAGTCCTATCCAAGTAAAATCATTCCCATTTGTGGCTGGCACTTGTTTATCCATTTTTGCCAACTCTGGAAAATCATGTTGTCGCACAATTGACAGCAAAATAGCATTACCGGCTACGAATCTGTTTTCTTCAAAGTTGTGGATTGGTGCCAAATGTCCCCCAACAACATTACACGTATTTTCCGCACCTTCAAACGTCTCCCCGACGAAGACCTGTGAAGCACTTAGACAGTGAACTTTGCAAGTAACTATGTGAGTGCACATTACGCAAGAAGTGGCAAATATGATGTCAAAGGTAAGAAGTATTGGTTCCAAAAAGTTTCCAAGTAAAAAAATGCAATGTTCGAATAAAAACTGTTTCAATTGTTGTTATAGCGAGAGAAATTGCCGGAAATACGATTGACACCCTAGCACAGTGCCTTTGATATACTACGATCCAAAAAGTAATACTTAATAGCGAAGCAATTTGGTTCTCTTTGATAGCGCATAAGGCATGATATTATACAAACTAGCGCAGAGATGGCTTAACATTAGCTTTTTTGAAACTTCGCATCGACAAGTTACTAATTCGTCATCACCCACTCAGAGCGCTCCCTCCTTCCCCGATTTTAATACCCTACACCCAATTTGCGATCTTCTAATGACAAAAGTTGCCAGTGGCGGCTACGGGCTGTGGCGGCCGCTACGGGCTGCTGACGCTGCGGCTGCTACGGACTCCTAGCGGCGGTTTCCCGCGGTGTGAAGCGTGAGAATACAGTCTACAAGCAGTAGGGCATCTGCGTTGGCTAGGTCTCTAGCGTGGCCCCGGAAGAAAAAATGGACCTGGAAATCAAAGCGCTATCAAGCCATGCCTGCCTTGAAAGTCCAGATGCAGGTTTCGGGTGGAGCCAGACTGCGCGGCATACGTATCTTTGTGCACACGTGCGCACTTTGCGTAAGTCGCGAAGTCTGATTCAAAACTCTGCGACGTGGCAATGTTATGTAATTTGCACCTCATATTCCAAAGCAAGGCCATGGAGAAGCATAAAATGACTGAAGCATTAGAGATGAAGATTTGGATAGAGCTGCTTTCAAGGACATGCGATTTCTGGTGTGAATCAAACTTCGTTTTAAAAATCAGACGGCAGCAAATTGTGCTCAGAGAAAGCATTTTTGATATGAGCGTACCTACAAGACAACTTGTGAGTGATGCATATGTAATGTACTATTTTAATTTCAAAATGCAATGGTAATCGTATTTTGACTATTACTGACGCCGCGCAAACCTGATCTTCTTAAAGCATGTGCTGCCCTATACCGGAGCGGCAGAATTTTGATTATTTTTAGTGCTTATCCAAGCTTACCATGACTTATAATAAAGCGCTAGGCGTCTGTCTTTTTTTGCGTGTGTGTGTTTGTCTGTCTCACGAAATTCATAGAGGGAGCTGCAGCCAACCTATCGAGCTACAATATTGCATAACATACCGCACCAGCATATAGGCCCACTATGCACAAGGACGAGTCGGTTCGATAAGCGGATCCTTCTAAATCTGCGCGTCAAACGTGTCCAAGCGACTTTTGGCAAGCAAAACGAAGAAGTGGTGATCGTGTAGATAGTTTTTGACAAGGTTTAAAATTGAAATTTGAAGAGATTTTTGCAGGGAAATGTAGCTCACAGTCACTATTATCCTTATGACAACTACCAAGTCAAAACAATTTCGATAATCCATTCAAAGCAGGTGTTCTTTGCGAGATAGTGTAACTTGTCAAATTATCGATTTTACTATGCTTCAAAAATGATCAGTTGTTTACGATTCATTTATGATGTTCAGCATCGCGTAGCGAGTTTCAAAGTCATCATTATGTGAACATGAGAAAGGCATACGGATAGAAACGCCAGTGCGAACATCCGCGAAGCGGAGGTGACGCACTGGTTCAAGAAAAAGCGCTTGTGTTCCAAGCTGAAAATGCTCAGAGGCGAGCTTCAAGCGTTTACTGGGGCTCGAATGCGAGCTTCGATCGTTCCTTAAGCATGGGAAATGGTCAGAAAACACGTTTGCGAATGCGGCGCTAGGACCAGGCGAGGCCATGCAATACTCACCTGCTCGAATCGGGCCGCTCAAATACGAGAGGGTATCTGGAAAGAACTTTGGATATAGACCATAATGTTCAGAGGAAGAAATAACGCCGTTAGGAGCCGCTCAGACTTCTCATTATGCACAGACCGTAAATTCGGACTAGCCAGATGCTAAGGCATCTGGCATCTGGCTAGTCCGAATCTTTTACCCGTGTCACTCGTGTTACCGGTGTTACCAGTGCTACCCGTGTTACTTTGTGTAGTGGAATGAAAATATAGCCTTATTCTAAAACGCAGTTTCATTGACCGGTGAGTAATACGAGTAACACTAGTAACATTAGTAGCACGGGTAAGACTAGTAACACTAGTAACACAGATAACACGAGTAACACTATGTAACACTGGTAACAACTGTAACACGGATAACACAGGCAAAGCATGGCCAAAGCCTAAGGAATGTTATGCATACAAAGTAAAAATAAGATAATCATGACTTATATAGGATGTTTACGTGCTTTTGTGTGTGTGTGTGTCTGTCTATAACGAAATTAACAGAACGTCACAGACAAGGTTTCAAGCCGCAATTTTTTGCACAACACGCATTGCTACCATCGAGATTCATTATGCCAAAGCACGACTAGATCCATCGAGTAAATCCCTCAAAAATCGCACCCGCAAACGGATCCACTTAACGTCTGACGCCCAATACTGGGTCCGTATTACAACTTATTGCAAAGTCGTGATATGGTTTGGCAAGTGAATGTGCAAGCCATGATCTTTAGCCCAAAAAAGTGATAGAATTCTATTTTCACACGAAAAAGGCGCCAAAACGAATTATCTGCGTGAATGGTCAAGTTACCAGGTTTTTGCCTGAGCTTTTGAGAAGATCTATGCACAGGGATGTAACTCGCAGTGGACATTATTTTTATGGAGACTACCAAGCCATGAAAAAATTCAAAACTGTTATAATTCTGCATATGTTTTTCATCTTCCAAGGTTTTATTCACACAGAAGACCGATCTCACACGAAAAAGCTTACGGAATGAGTGGTTGTTTACGTCTCATTCGTGAAGGCGGGCATTGCGCGGTATGTTTCAATGCCATGTTATGCGGGAATGAATATGGCATATAGATAAAAAAGGTGACGCAATGGTTACCTCTAATAACGGGCTAAGGGGTGTTTACGTGTTTTTGTGTGTATGTGTGAGTGTGTCTGTTACGAAATTCGTACGGATTCTAATCAGTGTTCTGAGCTTAAATCTTGCATAGCGCATGCTACTGTCATGAAAGTCCAACATGCGAAAGCACGGACAGATTTTGAGTGGATCGCTCAGAAATCGCGCATTAAACGGATCCAGTTGGTTTCTGGCCCTCAAAATTGGGCCCGTAGTCACATTTTGCGGAGTCATGGATTTATATGGCAAGTAAATATGCAATGAATTTAGGCCCGAAAAAGTGATCAAAACTCTACTACTTTATTGAAAAGGCGCCAAGAAAAATTGATTGCATAAGTAGTCAATTTCCCAAGGTTTCACCAGAGCATCTCATGAGATTTTTGAAACGCAGCTAATGGTGTTTATCATTTATACGACAATTGATAGAACCAGGAAAAAATGGAAACCTGTTCAAATTTAGTTCGTTCTTCTGCGAAAAGTTTCATCCACGCGAAATCACCGATTTTACATGAAAAAGCTTTCAGAATAAGTAGTTTTACATTTTCTTCGCCATAGTCGGCATTGCGCGGTGAGTTTCATTGTCATCATTATGCGAGAATGAGTAGGGCATTTGAGTGGTAGAACCAGTGCGAGCCTCTGCAAAGCAGAGATGATGCACTGGTGAACAAATAAGCGCCAGAATGACAGTAAAGTTGCTAAAAACAAACTTGCTTCTTGTTGGCAGTGTTTTATAGAAATGAAAAAAGAGTAGAATGAATGTCTAACTGGCTTGATACGCACTGTGGTTCATGAATTCTTTCGGATTCTTTCTAGGAACCGTTTCGCCATCTTTGCATTGAGCGCAGTTGCTGGCCTCTCGTTTAGGGACGGTGTTTCTTCTCTTCTTTCGAAATCGGCGCACAGCGAACTGGATAGTACTGCGCGAAATTCCTCTTAGCTCAACTTCACAATCGTGGCGTGAGATGCTTCACACACCAAATGGTGCATCTCCCAGAATTGTTCCCATATGAAGCATCATTCTGCGTGTCTTTCGATCACTTGAACATGGCAATTTCGAATAAGCACCTCAAAATTTGCTGGAGTTAACGTGTTAGATCGAAAGGCAGCTAATTGATGGTTCTTATGGGAACATTTTTTGGGATGCACGATCACCTAAGAATGAATTGAGCAAACTTTATGATTTTTTGAAGAGTTATGGGGAGCAAGATTTGACAGAAGGCAGAATTTGGCTCAAAAAGACCAAAAACTGGCAAAGTTAGAAGCTTATAAAGTCAGGCGTATAGACAATAGCGCTGATACACAAACCATAATCGTCATAATATGGTAAACAAAGTGGCTTGTCTTCGGCGAATGGTATGATGTCGAAAATAATGTGTTGCAGCATAAGCGCTAATAAGATCAGTTTAAGCACAGGAAAATTAAAAGTCATAGAATCATCACGTTCAAAAAAGAGGTGGAAAACATTTTTTTTTGATATTTTCTACCATTGCTGTTGACTAAACGACTCGTTTGGGAGGACAGGAAAAAAGAGCGTAACATAGTCTTCTCCACGAGGGAATCATAAACCACGGTAATGAAACATAATGGCCGTAACCCTGTCTCCAATTTCTCACGCTTTTCACAAAAGTTTGCTCCAGATTCAGTGTTTTTAAAGTTGTGATGTGCTTGGAAACTCCTCTTCGCTTTTCTCGTCCCTGTACAGCTTCAAAAATTTTGGTCTCAACAAGCAAGACGCGTTGTAACTAGAAAAGGTGCAGCTTGTGCTTAGAAGAAGTATCCTTTACGCTATAACAAGAGAGTTTTGCGGGATTACGAATCTGCTCACCAGACCCTGGCATTATATTGGGTTGTTTCGAAAGTTCTACCCGTTTCCCATACCTTTTTTTAAACTGCCGATTTTGGAGGAAGGAACCATTTTTCATAAACAATGCTTATATCATTTAAAAGCTCTTCTCTTCTAGTTTTTCAGGCATATTTTCAGGCATTTTTTTGACAGCGAAACAAATGTGGGAGTTTTCTCTTTGCTCTATTGCCGTGAAATCTACAGACAAAAGAAAAAATTCCTTTAAAACATACAAAATGTATGCTGGAGACTTGTGCTACGAAACGCTCATTGAGATATGATTTCAGGAAAATTTTGAACCTACAAATTTTTAGCTCAAACATGACCTGTCTTTATGGTCCCTTCAAGTCGCATAAAAATCATAAACATCTTGCAATCGCGGAACTTTTACTCTATAAAGTAAGATTGAAGCTAGAACAACTGCATTAGAAGAACGAAAAAATTTCTTGGTTTGTCAACGGCGAAGAAAATCAAAAATGCCAAAAAATTGCATTTTTTGCCGCCTCAGTAAGAGCAAAATAAATGGGTCCTTTCGGATTTTTCAGCACAAAATCTTTATGAAAGAGTTTGATGAAACCCAAGTTAGCGGTACTGGTCAATCGACTATGGGCTACACTGTGAGCAGTGTGCCACTCAGCTATATTCCAAATCAAGTTATGCTTTTGCAAAGTGAAGGTTTCTGCAAGGAGATGTCCCTCGATTTGCCTAGAAAATCTTCTCCACTGTTACTGCAATAATCTTAAAGAGTGCGCAGGATAGTCAAAGATGATTTGCAGATTGTATAACAGTTTATAGCAATTTCAAAGATTATTTCTGAGAAGAGTTACGGTGAATCAAATTCAAAGTTCGAAAACAGGTAGAACTTTTGAAACAACCCAATAATATAACTAAAGACCTCATACTTGTGTCGTGGGCCAATTTGGAGGCGTGTGTTGATACCTAAAGAGATATCTAAGGCATGGCACTAACAAGGGAAGGATAGTTGGATGCCGCGGCCATTCCTAATGATTTGTATACCAAAAAGTGCGCCTTCGAATGCAGATTCTGAATCTGTGCTCGAAATCTGCGAAACGATCTTTTGAAAAAAGTTATGAACTTTTTTCCTTGAAAATTTAGCCTACTTTTGGATAGCAAAAATCACCAGATTTGATCTAGCCTACCGTTTGATGCTACTGAAGAAAATTTTAGACGTAGTAATATTTATTTAGACTACCTGGATCATACTCAGCATTTGAAAAGGAGAGGAAATTTTTTTATTGATGATTTTGACCCTCCGCAAAAACGCAATTTTAAATGAAAAATTCATAACTCCATTCAGATTATCGTTTCGCAGATATGGAAGACAGTCTACGAACCAGCATTCAAAAGCGCATTTTTGGTATACAAATCATTATGTTTGGCTACGGCATCCAAGTATCCTTCCCCTGTAAGAAACAAGGTACTAGTGCTTAGATGATTGTGCAAATTAGATCTTTTTAGCAACCTCTCTGAATACCGCTTACTAAGAGCTTTTTCCCTTTGCAAAAGTCTACGTGCGCGCATTTTCTCAAAAATTTGTTTTTAAGGAAAGTTATTAGGGTGTCCCACTATTTTTACTGTTCATACTACAACCGTCATCTTTTTGTATTCTTCGTTCATTTGATGTGGATTTAGTAAACGTTCGGTAGGGCAAAGCAAGCTTTACAAGATGGCTATCAAGAATATGTCCATATCGTAATCCACGTGAAATTTCGAGCAGAAATTTGATAGCAGTCAAAAACGAACTTTACCGTCGGAAATCGTATCTAGGCCCCCAAAATTCCTGAAAATTCCCATCTGTCTTAGCATATGACACATCAAACATTCAGTTATACACTTTCCGTATTTTTTCCGTGGCAATTGAAGAATAAATAGAGTAAAATGGCAAACTCCGCCGACGTTCCTTGCTCCTCCAACGCACAGGATCATAAAGCTCATACATAGAGAAGTGCGACCATGTATATGTATTTTTGTAGGTGCCCCAGTTCTCAAAAAACGCTGATGTAAAAGGTAAAAAAAGGTACGAAATAATGGGACACCCTAATAAATTACATATAACTTGGCTTAGAATTTTTGTTGAAATACAAGTTTCAAACTGATTTCATGTTTTCTTGAGACAGATGGATATCCAACAGTGAGAAAGTATTTGCGACAGGATGACAATGCCTAAATTCCATAGAAATGTAAAAGGTTTGGTTTTTAAGCATAAATACCAGCAAGGTGTTCTAAAGTGCTTGAGACAACAGAAGATAGATTTGTGGTAAGGCATATGTAATGCCAAATTTCGATATTACTAACCTCGAGTCATTTTAATTCAACTTGTGAGACTGCACACTAAGCCCTATTAGCGACGGCACCCATACTAGTAACTTCCCAATAAAACATTTTTCAGCCTAACAAAATGTAGAAATGTATTCCACTGACTAACATATAACCAACTAAAACAAAAAAAAAGGAAACATGGAGAAATCACTGGAAATGAGCAGGTTCTAGTTTTGCACTTTGTCAGGTAGCGTGTATATTGTGCAGTACGCATATTAAGTTACGAATGACTCGACGATATATAATGAGCTACTTACAACCATAATCTAACATATTTACACTACGCGCAGCTTGTCATTTTTGAATTATAAGCGTCAGTTAACAGAAGTGGCTGAAGCAATTTTTAGGGTTTTTTCAGAGCATTTTAACACAAAAAGCGAGAATTCGTTAGAAAGCGATTTTTTCTGTTTCTTCTCAAGAAAGTTTTCTTTAGAAATGCAAAAGATGTGGAACAAATGCCCGCTTGATAGTGAAAGTGATAGCAGCTGAAGTTTTGGCACAGAGCCAAATTCTTAAGTGCATTTCAACTGTGCACTTTCTAGCCCTTTGATTATTTCGTTTCAAAGCAGTCATACATACCTTATAGCAGGCCTCGGTTTTGTCAAATAATGTCCATCCACTCTCGCAGCGTGCAGGACTTGCTATAAACAATCTCAGTTACTAACAGGCATAAACTAGGCTTCACAGGGTTCTGCTTAAGGGTAGCACTAAAGAACAGAGTGTCCCAAAAATTGTGCCTATTCGACCGTAAATAACTCTTCTAAGGTACAATCTGTAGAGCTGGAAAGCGAATTAGTGATCTTTCTTTATTTGCAGGATTACGGTAGGAGCTTGCAGCATACAACGACAATGTCGTTTGGAAAAAAGTTTCTTTGACCTGTAAGATTGTGTATGAGGTCGTGAAGGCAGATTCCTCTACAGGACAACTTATGAGAGAGTTTTCCAAATCGTATAATCGAAGGAACAGAGGAACAGGAAAAAACGTTGAGGAACATCAAAAAAACGTTGTATCTGGCGTAATTAAAGAAGCATTACGCTAATATACGAGTTTCGCATCTGGAATCAGCGACTTTGATTAGCCTGTGTAAGCATTTTCAAAATCTTTAACTTTTTTTGAATAGAATATGCCCTTTTAGCGGATCGAAACCCTCATCAAATCCTACCGTAATCCTACTGTAACTAAGATAGATTGTGGGTGATTTGCTTCATGCTATAAATCTAAGTAGAGGCCAGTTCTGCAAATAAGGAAAACGAAAGAGTTGTTAACGATCAAAAAAGGCACATTTTTGAGACACCATGTACAGTGCGTTGCAAAATTGTATCGAACGTTAACGTTTGCTGGCCAGTAACTATCTTGTCCGAGTGATTTTCGAGGATATTCAATTGATCAATTGTATAATATAGTAGAAGTGACTAACATTATTTATTTAATTAATTGTATAATATAGTAGAAGTGATCAAATTAGGCTTAGAATAAGCTTAACAATTTTTCCTCATTTTTGCATAATTACAGAAGAACTTTCGATAGAGTTTTGCGCCCATGTGAGCTATGGCTTCAAGATATTCTCCCGAAAAAGCTGCATTATAGGGCACCTTATCTGCTATGGCTCATATATGGAAATTGGTAGCGTCAAAAATAGCTCTAAATATTTCGAAGAAGCCATTCAAAATCGATAAAGTTTGGCTTTTTTTAGTGAGACTCTAATTTGGGTAACAAGAAGTAGTGCTTGTCCAGTGCAGTGCAGAATAAATTCTGCAAAAATAATAAGCCAACTCAATCTTTGGGACAAGGATGATTGTTTTTGAAAATGACGGTTTCAGCTGGGTGGCTCAGTATTTCTGCAAAACTCGCTGAAAATTACAACTTATTAGTCTACGGATGTTACTTACATGCCAATTACGGAAATAACACTCATTATTTTCTACAGAACCTTCTACTTATGTTGATACATACTCGAAGGCCTTGATGAAACACAAGTTGAGGGGGTCGTATCTAGTGCCACTCCCTCTGTTTTACCCTGGTAAAGACAGCAAAAAGACAAGTTGTGTGATTTATATCTAGCTTAAGTTTTTCGGTGCTTGTGCAATTAAACTCCACCTACAGTCGTATTCTCGTAAAGAAGGTCGAGCAATTCTAAGGTTTTGGAAAACCGGAGCCATCATTCTGTAGCAACTGCGGCACTCTCTCCAATTTCCAAAACCCAACAATCGAGCCCGAAATCTGTTTCTCAAGCTAAACAAAGTATATCGCTAACCTGCGTGAGATACAGAGAGATGAGAAAGACCATGATGTATGTCCGGGCCTCTGCAAAACCTTTTTGATTTGTTATCAAATGATTACCAATCACAAACCTGAGGAGCTGCGTCGTTCTGTGCAAATCTACAAAGGCGTTTAATGATGGAATCAATACAACGAGAAGGAGCTTTATCGAATACATTCTGAAACCTTTTCACCATTTGCATGAATATATTGAAGGTTAAATTCGAGAAGCACTCAAGCAAGCAGATTGAGATTGAAAGAGAATAAACATATAGTTTCAAGATGTCAGCCGGATGCTCAGTACAGAAAATCAGTTTGAAGCAGTCATCAAGGTGTTGAAGATTCAGCAAAGCAGTTTCCTATCTCTATCATCTGTGAATGAGAGCACCAATTAGGCCTTGCGTCCTGTGTAACCGTTGTTTTCTTAAAGAATTGGCTTTTCCCTGTAGTCGACAAGGCGTTTGTTCAATAGTTGAATAGGCTACCTATTTAAGTCTTCGGTTTCTTAAATCGTGAAAAAGGCGAATCTGCCGAAGCGCCAGTGTATGCAACGAAGTCCTGTACCACTTCGTTTATGCTGTAGAAAAATAACCAGAAGAAGACAGTGGTCAGAGCAGCTACATTGGCGAATGCGTGCTTTATTTTATAAGAAGGCATTCGCAAGATTGCCATCATACTTTTCTTCATAATTTAGTAGCTAGGCTGATGAATAATTCCGGTCAGATTCAGAAGTGTGTAAAAATGTTACAGCTAACTTTAACAAAATGTACGTTATGCTGGAAAAAGCAAGACAAGTGCAAATGGTCAAGTTTATTCTTCAAAAATTATTTTCTGGCAGCGAAGCAGGGATGCAGAATAGCCAGAATTGTTCCTCAAAAGTTCGAAAAGCCATGCTCCAAAGAACGAGATTAAGTTGGGTATAGAATACACCATTGGTACGTAAATACGATTTTGTTACTTCCAATCATTTGCATGGCCATAAATCAAGGAATTATAGCGATCTGGATTTCCACAGACTACCACGCACAAATGCCTGAAGATTTTCACATTTGTGGCTTCAAAAATCCATAAGCAGCAGTTCATTTCATTGGGGTAGTCCATGCAATCTTACCACAGCTTTAAGTGAAACAAAAAACTCAAAATTGTGATTTTACAGATAAACGTTAGCTATGTCTCCTGATGAAATTGGATTGATAGTCTCTTTTATTACCGCTTAGAGTGATGGAAAGAATCAGCGAATTTGTACGAGACTCTGTACACACAAACTTTGTGGCGGGGTTATGCCAATAAGTCATTTCTACTGACCTTATCGATTTATTGATTTTCTTGCAATTTGCTTGGAGGAGTAAAGACTAGCAGAAGGGTAAGTCTGCTGAATAGAAGTAAGCTATTCACTACTTCCCTTGTTGATCCCTTTTACCATTTACTGATTGATAGACGTTCATGTTGGTCATATTACCGCTTAGCGGCAGTAAAGCAGCTGGTAAAATCAGGATATATGTTTTTACTAATAGAGAATTCTAGAGAAGGATGTACGTGATAACAAAGATTTTGAAACTGCCTCTACAAAAAAACCTTAGCTAAGTAACAGCTACTTGTCTAGATACAATGGATGCCAAACATCCCGTGTGCTTTAACTACTGCTGCGATGAAATGTGGCGCAAAAATGGAAACTTTCCAAAGAGAAGTCAGCAGCAATAAGGCTAAAAATTTCAGGAGAAAATGTTTGAAAAGTTTTTTTTTCAAAATCCAGAACTCGTGCTACTTCGTTATACTTCTACATCGACATCGTTGCTAAGGTGTCATATTTGAAATTAAATGAGGACGCAGCAGCTTCGTAGCCAAAGAGCAGAAGTATCGCTACAATGTTGTATATCTAGTCATCAAGTTCATCTAATGCCCTCTGAAAGTCTTGCGAATGAAGCCTTCTGAAAGCTTCCGTTTTCCTTCAGCACTAATTTTTAAACTTCCTGAAGGCTTCGGGGAATTCTCCGAGACGATTTCTAGTTTTCACAAGGCTTGAGAAGTTCACGTGAATAGTCTGAGTGAAGTATTGAAGAGCTGAAAATTTGCATGTCAGAAATTACTTACCAGCTGATCTCATATCATCTTTGATTCATCTTATCCTCCACTATTTTTTTTAAAGCGAGTGCTTCAACTTGCTCTCCCACCAATAAAGCTTGCATGAACACGTGAATTCAAAATATTAGGGTGTCTCATAATTTTTTACTGTTTTTACCCTAAACATCAGCATTTCTCGAGAACTGGGGCACCTGCAAAGGATCCGAATACTTGATTGTACCTCTGTATGTATGACTATATGATCACCTGCGCGTGGGAGGAGCTCAGGAGGTTTGGGGGCGAAATTTGCCATTTTGCATCATTCATTTTTCTTTATTTCTAGCCATTGAAAAAATTCGAAAATGTATAGTTGAACAAGCCATGTGTCAAGCATATGCTGGGTCAAATGGAAAATTTTTGTGGATATTTTGGGTCGGAGGTACGATTTTTGAAAGAAAAGTTCGTCTTCGACTACTATAAGATTTCAACTCAAAACTTCACGTGGGGTAGAATTTGGACAGACTTTTGATAGCCACCTTGCAGAACTTGCTTTGCCCTGTCGAACAATTATTCAATCCATGATTATCACATCAGATGAAGGAAAGGTACAAAAAGGCGGCGGTTGTAGTAAAAACGAAAAAATCATGAGACACCCTAATACACCAGATCATATCAATTTATACTATGAATTACACCCGAAATTTTTGCTGAAGATATTATATTATATATAAGATATTCAGATTTTTCCCACCACTGATATCGATGATGTTCATTGTGGAGTTCACCAACCATTGCGGAGGCTTAAATCAGTTCAGTACAAATGTGTTAAGCTCTCCAATAACAAAGCTGAACCAAGATTCACAAAGGCTTTCCTATATCACGGACAAGTTTGCTTTAACACCCCATAACTTTTCCAAATCACCAACAAGAGATTTTTTATGGTCTTGGAATTCTTTCGCCCTCCTTACCTTGAATAAAAAAGATCACGCATTTCTTTGCGCTTCTGAAAATGGCAAAGCTTTAGTTTATAAGAATTCTACCTTGTAACTGCCATAAATATTTTTTTTCGCCTTGAATTATATCCGGCAAAAATGTTGTGCATTCTTCAAAGTATTTATAGTAGGTTTTTTGATTGAAGTACTGCGTACTTCCAACACCTTGAACACTTTCCCCACCAAAATGTCTACAATCCTTCTGACTTAGAAAACCCTCGTATAGAAGAGCGAGCTCTCCTTTCTCATGAAATTATTGCCCCGGCAGCGACGGTAGCTTTTAGAAAGGTCTCGTGAAACATCGATATAATTGGCATTTCTATATCTCTAAGGCAAATTTGAGTGAAACTTCTATAAAAGCAGAATTTCACTTATGCAGACATTTTTCCACACTGGCTTTTTTTCCACACTTCATGGCTCGATAAAATTATCTGCACCCTATTCTTTTTTTTTTTAATGTTGTCGATGAGATTTTAGCGACAGCGGCAGATTAACTCCATAAGAAAGATGCTATTCCGTCAAGAAATTTACTGCTATTTTCATTTCTTTGATCCTTCTAAATTCGGCGATGTTCAAATGAAAATGCTATAGAATCTCACAACCTAGGATCACCCAAAAGTATAAGCAAACCATATACAAGATGTTCCAAAAGTAAGTACACACTTTTTGGCCGTTAATAACTCTCTTCCTAAGAATTCTTTTGCTTGGCGTTAAGTATCATTCGGTAGAGTAGGCAAGGGAACCGTGCGGACTCGAAGTGGCCTTTCCTGATGAGACCCATACTGCTTTGAAGAGCATTAATCGGTGATTCCAAATCTGCTTTCCAAATCTGCCAAGCGCCTCTGGACGCCGAGTTATGCTCGTTTTTCAGGTCAAAAAATTGAACGCAAAACTGAAGCAAAATCGCCCAAATTTGCTCAAATGGTCCAGTGTCAAGTATCAGAGCTGTTTATGCAATGGACACATTTTACTTAATATGCACTTAACATTGCTTTATCTGAGCGCTGGAAGGACTATAACAATCAATTTTACCTAAATTCTGCATTCATTTTTCGTTCCGATGAACGGTGACAACTCGACGTCCAGAGGCGCTTAGCAGATTTGGAAGGCAGATTTGGAATCATCGCTTAATACTCTTCAAAGCAGTACGGGTCTCATCTGGAAAGCCCACTTCGACTCGACACGGTTCCCTTGTTAGATTCACAGTATGGAGCGAATCACCCATCGCTCTTCATTGCTGTTGGATTGCGGTAGGAATTTCCAGCGTACAACGCCACTATGAAATAATCCGTTACAGAAAAAATTATAAAAAATTCTAAAAAGTTGTGCAGAGATGTTTTCATACATGCTGACTTCATTAAACACCTTTTTAAAGTTTTCCAAGCGTTTCAAATGATTTTAATCACATTTTCGAAACATGTCGAAAAACTTTATTGCCGTCTACCTGGCATAACTTGTGAAAAAGTTTTGCGTTAAGTGCAATTTTCAAATTCATAATCAGCGACTCAGTTCAGCCTAATGCTAAGGTTTTTGGCTCGTTGAGAATTCATTCTGGTGCAAAAGCTTTACCGTTGTCCTACAGTGATGAAGAGAACTGAGCACTTCACTCTAGGTAAATTTAAGCTATGGCCTACTCTACCGAATAATACCTAAAGCTAAGCAAAAGATTTTGTGGGAAACAAGTTGTTATCGTTTGAAAAGTGTGTACTTACTTTTGGACATCCTGTACATGAGAGTTTTGTCGTCGACAGAATGTAACACTGCTAACTCTTCAATTATAAGTGGCAAGCAAATAAGTAAGGAGAGACCGCCGTTAATCTGTCAAAAAAATCAAAGGAAGTGAGGCTATGAGGGTAGGAAAAACAGTGATAAGAATTGGCAAAAGTGATAGCACTCATGTCATGAGGATTCTTTTATACTGCAATATAGCAACGCTTTCCTTGAAAGCAGCGAAACGCCCACTTTGTCATGTTTTGCGTTTTCTGTAATAAAATCTTCCAAGTTCTCGAAGCGTTCTCATATTGCAAATCAATCGAAGGCATACTATTCAACGTCTTCAAACTTGTTTCAACAAGTAGGTTGAGGCGACCAATTCAAGTAAATCCTTATAAAACAGAGTTTTTAA